AGTTCTATCATAGCTTGGTCAAGAAGAGAGCGAAAATGAACTATATTGCTTCGATAACTTGTGAGGATGGCACATTAACCGGCTCTATGGAGGATGTTTCTAAAGAATTTATACGTTAGTATGAAGGCCTATTGGGAACCGGTGTGCAAACGGAGGACATTGACCCTCAAATTTTTAGTTCGGGGCCGACTCTTAGCCCTAACCATCGTAGCACTCTAATGGCCCCGGTAACCGATGAAGAGATCAAGTCCACCCTTAGAGGCATTGAAGGAGACAAATCCCCGGGTCCGGATGGCTACACCTCTACCTTCTTCTTAAAGAGTTGGGATGTGGTTGGTAATGACCTTATTGCGGCAATCAAAGAATTTTTTTCGAACCGGGTCCATCCTCAAGCAATGAACCACACCAGAATCACGCTTTTCCCTAAGTCCTCCCACTCCTCTCGAGTCACGGACTTTCGGCCAATTGCGTGTTGCAACACGGTTTACAAGATTTGCTCCAAAATCCTCGCAAGGAGAATTAGTGAGGTCCTAGACGCTATTGTTGATGAAGCCCAAGCCGCTTTCATGAAGGGAAGAAATATGACGGACAATATTCACCTCATGCAACAATTACTCCGTCAATATTTGAGAAAAAGAGTCTCCCCGAGATGCTTGATCAAGATCGACCTCCGTAAAGCATTCGATTCCGTCTCATGGGCCTTCTTAAGGCAAATGCTTGAGGGTTTAGGCTTCCCAATGGCTTTCACTAAGTGGATCAGGGAGTGCGTCACCACCCCTTCGTATTCCTTATCCATCAATGGAAGCCTTAAAGGCCATTTCAAAGGAGCTCGTGGGCTAAGACAAGGTGACCCTCTCTCGACTTTCTTTTTTGTTCTTTGTATGGAATATTTATCTCGACTCATTAAATGGCACACGGCGGATGACCCGAACTTCAAATTCCATCCTATGTGTGAGAAGATTAAAATCTCTCACCTTGTCTTCGCCGATGACCTCATGCTCCTCTCTCGGGGGGACTCGGGGTCAATTCAATTGCTTATGAATTGTTTAAGGGATTTTGGAGCAAAATCGGGGCTTGAAATGAATGTGCTCAAATCCAACATATATATGGCCGGAGTTAAAGAGCAAGATCGTGAGACAATCCTTGATGACACTAGTTTGCAAAGCGGGCCTATGCCTTTCCGTTACCTCGGGATTCCCCTCACCGCGGATCGCATTACCGGGAGGCTCTTTGATGATAGATCAAACAAGTTGAAAGCCAATTAAGTGGATGGAGGAGTCACTCCCTTTCCTATGCCGGTAGATTGGAACTAATTTGGTCGGTCATTCAAGGCATCGCTTGCTTTTGGATGGGCATATTCCACTTGCCGGGCATTGTTCGAACCAAGATCATTCAACTTTGTGGGAGGTTCTTATGGGGCTCCAAAAAAGCCCCCGTTGCATCGGATACATTGTGTCTACCTCGTGCGGAGGGTGGATTGGGGCTCCGTAACTTGGACGCTTGGAACTGAGCCCTTTTTATGAGGACTCTTTGGAATATGCAAGCAAAGAAGGATTCACTTTGGTACAAATGGATCCACAACATCTATTTGAAGGAGAAAACTATTTGGGATTGGCAAGTTTCCAAAAATGATTCCCCCCCTCTTCAAATCCCTCTTTGAAATCCGGCAAAGCTTGATTGAAAAAGAGGGTAGCGAGCATGGCGCGGAAGCCCTTCTCCGTGCTTGGAATTTGCGTGACAAACAAGATGGAATGAGTAAGTGCTATGACTTTCTTCGTCCCAAAGGTATCGAGAAGCCATGGACCGGGGTTGTTTGGGGAAGTTGCAATACCCCTAAGCATTCTTTAATCTTATGGCTCGGCGTAATGAATAGGCTCCAAACAAAGGATAGATTGGAATTCCTCAACGAAGACCCCACATGCCTCCTTTGTGGTACCGCAAACGAATCCTCGAGTCATCTCTTCTTCAAGTGTCCCTATAGCTCGGAGATTTGGAGTGCAATTAGAGTTTGGGTTAGCCTCCGTCACATGCCATCTACCCTTAAAGGCGCCCTCAAATGGACTAAAAAAGAAGGGAAAGGTACGACTTGGCGAGCCAAATTGAAGAAAGCGGCACTTGCGGCAACCGTCTACTTCATTTGGAACGCACGCAATAGATTGATTTTTGAAAGCGAAAGTCAACCTCCAAGCCTCGTGATTAGAAAGGTAAAAACACATGTTTACCGCACTGTCTTTGCTACCTACTCGAGTGTTCTTGCCGAATTCGAAAGGAGATGTCTTGGCCTTGAATTTTGAAAAATTTTGAGTTGGTTGTTGCAAAGTGTATGAGCACTTAGATGATATTGAAGAGAGGAAATTAATTGTTTCTCTTCTTCGAGTGAGCACCCGACTTGTGGTTGCCCTCGTTTATTTTGGTTCTTGCGAGTGAGGAGCCGACATGTGTCTACCCACTACGCTTTTGATAGCCGTCCCGGTTGTATTACTTTCAGTTTTGATCAATACAAATTTATTTAACGATAAAAAAAAAGTATAGTAGTTCTTTATTGCATAAGTGTGAGTAATTTACAAATAAAAATTATTTTTCTTGTATTAATTATTTTTTTTGATTTCATTATTTTTCATGTGCGCATAATAACTTAAGATAAACTATAAATTAACCCGACATAAACTATAAAACCGTCTTGAGAGAGGTACCTCATCCTCGACCTCACGCTAATTACTAGATTGCTTTCCCTTGTATTTCCTTCTTTGACCCCTTATTCCGTATTTTAAAAAAAAAATTAATGCCGTATTCAAGGAAAAAAATGATTTCTCAACACGTGAATTGAATCGTTATCAATCACAGTGGCCTGTTAAATGACGTGTGCTTGCAGTTTTCATACTTTCCTGAATTAGAAACTATTTAGTGGGACCCTCAAAGTGAACTTTCCCAAAAAAGAAAAATGAGTTCCCTAATTATATACTAGTAAATAGACTATTGTCGAAAACTTCCTCTATATCAAATTATTTTTTTGTTAAGGTATAATACAAATTCATCCAAAAATAATTATTCAAAGGCAAGAGTTATTTTATCTCTTTATTGTTAGTTTTTTATTATGCACTTAATCCAATAGTGGATCTACAATAAGTATGAGTTATTAACAACATTGTTACTTTCGCAAAAAAAATAAATAAATAAATAAATAAATAAAAACAACAAATAATAATTTTTAAAAAATAGATTTTTTTATATGTTTAATGTATTAAATATTTTGCCAGAGTGAATTTATAATATATATATCCTCCCTATATATAATTCCCGAATGCGTTGAGCCATGGCTACTTCTGGTGCTTCGAAATCCTATTTGGCGAAGAATCATGCTTCGTAGTTAGGTTTGGATAAATAATATTGATATATTAATAATTAATAATCTAGGTTCGGGTATTCCATAAATATTATTAGCTAACTTAGATATTTTAATATCACTTTACTAATATAACCCTTTAATTCTTTGTAATTTTACATAGTGAGACAATATGTGACTAATATATCCCTCAATTTTGATTTGTTTCCTTCGATAAGCTATTGAATTATAAAATATATTTTAAAAGTTGATAACTTTTGTATTTCTTATCGGTTTTACATATATATAATATATCAAATTAATCATCTTTTGATGATCTTCAATTTGACATCCATATTGTATATATGAATTAAAACTTTTGTATTTCTTATCAGTTTTACATATATAATATATCAAATTAATCATCTTTTGATGATCTTCGATTTGACATTCATATTGTATATATGAAATAAATAAATTATATTTATCTTTATAATAATAAAAAATAATAAAATTTATTAAAATTCATTAGAAAAATAAAATTATTTTTCAATTGACATATTTATATGTAATGTAGTTATATATTGTAAGTTAAAAAAAATAGTATAAGATAACACAAGTAAGTTGCACAAATAAAAAGTGTCATAATAAATATATAATAATATATATATTCTTATAAAATGTATTTAAATTTTGAAACAACTTTTTCTCAAGCACCCGTGTAATACACGGGTGTTGTACTAGTTAGGGCTGGACAAAAAATTCGAACCGAACCGCTGAATCGTAGATCCGAATCGAAATCGAACCGAATTTTCGCTTAACCGGGGTACTCGGTTCGGTTACAAATACCTCAAAGTAAGTATTTGCTCGGTTCGGTTCGGTTACGGTTTTTATGATTTTTTTACCCCAGTTAACCGAACCGAACCGTATATTATATTAAGATTTATAATTATTATATTATATATTATATATTATATATTATATTATATTAAAATTTATAAAATATATATTATATATATTATATTTATGTCGGTTCGGTTCGGTTCGGTTTGGTTTATTATTTGCAAACAAGTCAGCAGATTTGTGTTAAGTTTGCTCGGTTCGGTTCGATTCGGTTAATTCGCGAATAGTAGGATTTTTTCGGTTAACCGAAAATTCTGTTAACCGAGATTTTCTCGGTTCAGTTCGGTTAGCAAGTTCGAATATTTGCTCGGTTTGGTTCGGTTAGCAAATACCTCAAAAAACTCAGTTAACCGAACCGTGCCCAGCCCTAGTACTAGTACTTTCAGGAAAGCAAAAAAAAAAAAAAAA